ATAAAAGTATTTCCGTATTAGTTGCGTACAATTGTCTAATATATTTAATTAAAATTATTATTTTATGGAATATTAGACTTAAAGAGTTATTTAATAAAATTTATATTATTAATAGTAAAAATGTTTTTGGTTATTTAATCAATATAATTCAAAAATTTCCAATATAATGATGATTACATTTTTTTGATTATTACACCATGTTGACGCCTATGAAAAATCGAGCAGTTCCGTATGGGTTTTGTATTATTAGCGGTGTTAGGAAAATTTGAACTCTAAGGTTGATGTTCTGGAAATTTTAAATACAAGTGACGTCACTTTGTATGAATCGTGACGTGCAAGTGTTTTACTTTGAAAAATAGCATATTATGTTTAATTTACTATGATAATAATATTAATTTAAAAATAATAATATTAATAAATATTAAATATATTTACAAAAGGAACATTTTTATGCTCAAGGGAGAAATAGAGAGAAAATATATCTTCTGTCTCTCTCTTATCTATATCTTACATATGTAATGATTTTGCCGATTCTCCCGTACAAATTTCTAACGTTGAACGCGCGTATAGAAAAAAGTATAACTTCAAAAAATGTTTGTGGAAGATAAAAAAAAAACCAACAACTCAGATGATATTGTAAATTTTCAGTTTATTTTAAAATTTAGCATTTTTGCGTATATTGCATGTATTTAATAAGATTAACGTGGGGGTTTTAAATATTTCAAAAATAAAAAAGGATATTCATATTGGGATTCGAACTTAAATATACCTACCAGCGTATGAACAAAACACGTAAAAAATTTGCCAATTAGACATGACACCAAAGAATATATATGCGAAAGACATGACACCAAAGAATATAGACGCATATGCGTCTATATTCTTTGATGACACTAACAAATTTCAATATTGACAGTTCTCGGTCATACAGTGATTTATTGTAATATTATTATTTTGAAATACAAAAAATAATTACGAATAATTATAAACATTTAATAAATAATACAAAACATGACATAAATAATAATATTAATATATTATATATATATATATATATATATATATTATATATATATATATATATTATTGTGATATTCAAGTCTTGGTGCGCCAAGCAATTAATCAGCTAATTAATTAATTAAAATTATTTAAATGATATGATTATGACTCTATCACACTTTTTAATTCTCTTATCTCAGGGTTAACTTCGTGCTTCAATATCTATGCTATTACATGTGAAAGGTAAGGTCCAAAGAATACCGGAATAATAAAAAAACACATATGATATAACACTATATATTGAAATAAAAATAATGAAATAATTCACACTCAAATGTTTTCAATAAACAAAATCTCATATAATGATTCTCAAAATTTTGTTCTACGTACGTGAACCTTCAAAATTAATGGTACAAACAATATTAATTGAAATCTCAAAATCCCAAATTATTCTAACTCTCCTAATCAAAATATTTATATCCTTTCTAAATTAAGTGTAAAAATTGTGTTATCAATAAAAGAAAAAATGCAGAAACAAAACTATCTCTCTCTCTGATGATGAGTGGTCCAAATCCTTGTTCCTTGTAGACTATATTATCTACTCTCAGCCGCTCCCTAGGTAATCAGCAATCTTACAACAAATTATTGCAAGTTTATCGTCCTTAATGATCCCCTTCAAATGCACGAATCGTTCAAATTATGCTAGCTTCTTCTTTTCTCAATAAACTGAATCTCTCGTTGGCCTGAGTGAAAAATGACTCTTGGAATATCTTTTCTTTACGATAAACTGAATCTCTCGTTGGCCTGAACAGTGACTCTTGGAATATAAATAGAATAAAAGTAGAAAAATATGACTTACACTCTTTTACTGGATCAGCTTCTGTCAGATACACTAACTACACGAAAACTCACAAACTTTCACTGCTACTGCTTCCTACCTCTGGGAAACTACCCGAGAAACAACGGCCGTTCGCCTTGCACCCTTGGAAACCAACTAACTATCTTTTCTCTCTCAACAATCTAGCTAAACTTTCATTCCTACATACCTATCCCACCTTTTTCAATCTCCGCCAATCAAAGCTCGTCACAATTCTCCCATTTTTTCATTTCGATAACAAACAAAATTTTACCTATAATTATAAAATTTCCTAAAACTTATTTACAAATAATATTTTTCTACAATTCTTAAAAACTAACAAAAACCTCTTTCTAAAATCTATTCTATTGTCCTTAATCACTGCATTAATGTATTTGGAAACCCGGTTCAATTGTCTTTGGATTTCACTTAAAATTATGCGGGTCACTCAAGTATATTATAACAAAGAAAATAATTTATGCATAGCTTACATTTTGTTTAATACAGGTAATCCAAAAATTTAAAGACTTTCCTTCTTCGAAATGTTTGTTGGTTATTATCCTACTTATCTGAATTATTTTAATTTTTTTGGACTTTGAAATATTTTAAACAAACCGATATTTTCTTGATTTTACATATCATAACAATATATATATATATATATATATATATAATATTATATATATATATATACAAAAGGAACATTTTTATTCTCGAGAGAGAAAGAGAGAGAAAATATATCTTCTGTCTCTCTCTTACTCATATCTTACATATTTCACTGCAATCGATTTCACCGATTCATTCCCCTGCAAATTTCCAACGTCGACCGCGCATATCTTGACTATCACTCCTCCTAAACGGTAATAGATAGGAGAATATTTTTTTCGAATAATTAAACAGATTGTTGAGTAGATTCCCCCTAAGGTTTCAAATTTAAACAATTCGAACCGGTTTAAAAATGGAGGCCATAAAATGAATTTTTCCTATAGTAAAGTATAGGAATTTTACAGGTTTCATTCGTCAGAATTTACAGTCCTAATTTTCAATGTATTTTTAAAATATGACCGCGTCTACTTTTTTCTTATACTTACTGATTTAATTCAGAATTATGAAACCGGAAGTATTTACTTCCCTACTTCCGATCTACAAGAAAAGAAGATAGAAAATTGGAGGAAAGAGGCTAGAGACAGAAGGAGATGGAAGAGAATTACTAAGCTATGGGCCTGAAACGGCCTGCTACAAGCTTTTATATACAGGGTGATCCTCAAGTAATTGTACAAAAAGAAATAATAGATTCTACACTTTAAAATATTATGATTTAAGCCAAATTGCTTTAATAAAATATTGATATTAATAAAGATACAGGGTGTTGAAGTGCAAATTTAAAATTTTATTTTTGGCTATAACTTTCATGTTTGTGAACATTTATGTAGAAAAATTTACAACTTTGTACTTTTGAGTATAAGAAATTATAATTTGTTGCACACTTTGATCTAGCTGATAGAGGGCGCCACATATGCCACATATATGGCATAAATTTGCGCTTAACTTTTTTGCTCTTTAAGTTAGTTTTGTTTGTGTTGAAAAATATTAAAGATACATTATTTTTACAAAGAAAAGGTGTACTTGTTAGTAACCTCAAAATTCAACCGTTTTCGAGATAATCGCAACTTTGCTTGCTGCTATTCTGAATAGTCCGGTTGTCGATGTATTAAACCACTTTCTTAGGTTATGAGAAAAAACCAACTATGAGAAGAAATAAATACTGTAGCAGTTTCTTTAGAACAAATAATGCTATTTAATATGAGACGATCTTTTATGGAATATATTGACAAATGAATTAAAGAAAATGGTGGGCATATCGAACACTTGCTTTGACAAAAAGTTATGTTATTTGGTTGTTTAATACCAAATTTGATATTTCTTAATGCTTCATTCAGATCCCATATTCGTGTTTATTGAGATTCAGATGCCGTATATTGAATGTGTAGGACGGTACGTTTCCAAATTCATGATTTTGAAAAATTAACTAAAAACCGACACTCTAAAGCACTATAACTATAGAAACAATGAATTTCTGCATCTTAGAGACTGGAATAAATACACCAGGAATATTTGAACGAAAAGTGGAAGACACAGAATCTTGTTCTTGTTTCATGGAGATCATTTGAACATTTTTAGAGCTTTGTCCCTATTTAAAATTTTATTTGTGGTACTTTCTGCATACTTTCGGGTATTGTTATGGTTTAGTTCAATGCCAATGTCTCATTTGCTCTTCTGTGAGCAAATGAGGGATCCATCGGGAAACTAACTTCGTAACACCCACTTCTTCATGTAGGATCTGTTGGATCGAGGTCTTTGAAATGCCCAAAGATGCCTCTATCCTCCTGGTATGCTACACGGCGGCGGTCGTGTTTGTGGCTGTTCAATGTTTTGCTGTGTGGCTGTGCTGTTTTAAAAGGACCTGGCCTGGATTAGTCACCGAGACTGGAGCGACCACGTTTAAATTCGCAATACCTGCAGGAAATAGTTGACTGGTGTGATACTTCATTCCCAAACACAGAAACCATTTCACCGAGATATCGTTTTTGGGATATTCCTCTTTGAAAATTGTAAAAAAATGTTCTCGGCCAAGATCCATTTTTCGACCGACTTACTAATTTCAAAAATGACTGTATCTACACGACTTGCATCGGAATGAAACTCGATTTATGTCAACAAAAGATTGAGGTTACATTTGTGTCGGCAGGATTTTTTGGTGGCGTCCTCTAAGCGGCTAGATATAAAACTAAAAAGACAAACTTCGTAGTTTTGAAAGAGTATTAATTTTCCTGGTTATTTTGTTGTCCTAAAATGCACACTTTTGATTTAAAATCGCAAATATCAACCATTTTTAATTTTTCGTTTTTTCGGAGAATTCATTAATTATTCCGTCAATGATAGAGAAAGTAATCGGTTTGAATGACATAGATAAGATAAGCTTGTAGGACTAAGAGAAGTTTTGAATAAGTTCAATGTAAACATACGGAAATATCAGTCGCTTTTATGATAAACAATATAGTTTAGATATACTCGTATCATTAAAATCAAACGAGAAAACAGGTGAACTGAATAGTAAAGTCAAAAGGAATATAATATATGTAAAATGGAAATACAAGTGGAAGAACATCAACAAGTAGTGCAAAAGGTAAATCTACTAAGTAACATAGCTCGTTATACATTATTTTAGTTTAATAAAACTTAGTTTACTGGCTCATCTTAATAAAAACAATAAATATTAGAATTTCAACCATATCAGTGTAGGTTTTCATTTTTATTTAATTTTTTTTTAATTTCAAGTACCGTTCAACACCTCGATGTGTCAACCTATCAATGGTTGTTTTGAATGTTGTGATGTTATATATTTTCTATTCTTTTTAATTTTTCTGATAAGCCCTTTACATATGGTTTTGTTCTCATTTTAAATCAGTTCTCGTGAGCGTTTTTGGATTGCTTATGGTGTTTTGTTATTTCCTTTTTTCAATATTGTAAAATTCCTTGTTTATAAATGGCCATGGGTAATTTTTTGTGAAAATCTTTATTAGCAGATTTTTTCTCCCTGAAATGCATTTTCATTACAGCAGGTGTTTTGAGAATTTTATTTATTCTTCTTTACTTTTAAGGACCATCAGTTAAATTTCAATGCTTCTGCTTCGTGAGGCCAAATGGCTCAACTAAATATCTCCACCGTACTGTGGGTTGTTGGTCATATTTATGTACAATGAGCACAGAGTACAATGAAAGTTGCATTAATAGTCAGGAAAGAAACAGACATGAAAAAATATCAAACAAGCAACTCTCATCTTTCTCCATGAAGAAAAATGTGTAGCAAATCCATAAGCAGACATGTACAACAAATCCATATACAACACACAAAACAATTAGAATTTAATGAAATCGTAGGCTTCCACGGCCAGAGTCAGAATTATAGTTTATTCGTCTTCCGGGTTTGGACCGTGTCATTTGTGAGTGACCCAAAAGTGGGTTCATCTCGACGTTTCGCTACAATTGTATGTAGCTTCTTCAGGAGAACAAAGAAAAAGAAAAAGAAGACAGGAAGATGGGTAGTTAGCAACGGTAACTCAGTTACTCAACGCAACCAGAGGCGAATACTAACTACCAAGATGGGTATTTGGTCACAGTAACTCAACTACTCAACGCAGCCAGAGGTGAAAACCAAATGCCAGGACAGAGATTCACGTCCAACAGCTCAGAACACTAACGCGTCGAGAGGCGGGGAGTAATCCCTGTTCTGACATTTGGTTTTCACCTCTGGCTGCGTTGAGTAGTTGAGTTACTGTGACCAAATGCCCATCTTGGTAGTTAGTATTCGCCTCTGGTTGCGTTGAGTAACTGAGTTACCCTTGCTCACTACCCATCTTCCTGTCTTCTTTTTCTTTTTCTTTGTTCTCCTGAAGAAGCTACATACAATTGTAGCGAAACGTCGAGATGAACCCACTTTTGGGTCACTCACAAATGACACGGTCCAAACCCGGAAGACGAATAAACCAATCAGAATTTGATGCCATCCTGAGGGTGCAAACACCACCCTTAGAATTTTCAACAAAAAATATGGCTACTTGCCTACAAGATCGTGGCCAAGTAAGTCACCCGTCAATTTGGACAACAATAATCGCCAAACAACTTGTTTATCATCACAGCTCACTATTTTAAAACAATTTTGTTTGAAAACCATTTCCGAAGTGGAAATCGAAACGTCAAATAAAAATTATAAAATGTAATTTTCAATACAATCCATTGTGGTTTGATCCCATATAAATATAATATTTAACTTAGACATGCCACAAGAACAGATTCAGACCTTTTTAATCTTCTTCTTCTTCCTCTTTATAAGCAATTCTGCTTGTTCATTGGCGGATTAATACCTCTATGGAAGGTTGCCACATCTTTTGCGCGGTCGTCAGATACTTCTGCTGCCGATTGGTGACTTATCTCTTGCTATTTTGACGACACGGGTCTCCTCCATTCTGCTTATCTGATTTGATTATAGGTACACGGACCTAATAACAAACATATACAAAAGTGCGAGTACCACAATAAAATTGACGAACGAACACGCTACAAAACCAATAAAATTCGAAAGAGTAATCAGGCAGGGAGACACAATATCGCCAAAATTGTTCAATCAGGCTATGGAAGACATATTTAAAAAATTAGAATGGGATACATACGGAATAAGAATAAATGGAGAGCTCTTGAACTTGAGATATGCAGATGATATAGTCCTGATAACAGATATGAAGGAAGAGCAGAAGATGGTTGAGGAACTAGATAGAAAAGCGACAGAGGTAGGTCTAGAGATTAACTATAGTAAAACCAAAACTATGACAAACCAAGAAGACCAATTAGAAATAGTAGTCAAACAGAATAAATTAGAGCAGGTGGCAGAATACATATACCTAGGACAGATAATAAAGCTGAACAGGGACAATCAAACAGAAGAAATAAAAAGGAGAACTAGACTAGCATGGGCCTCATTTGTTAAACTATCATATATTCTAAAAAATAAAAAGTTCCCTCAATATATGCGAACGAAAGTATTCAACCAGTGTATTTTACCAGTTATCACATATGGCTCACAAACATGGACTTTCACAAAGGAGAACATCGACAGGATATCCAAAACACAAAGAGCAATGGAAAGACAGATGCTGGTTATCGGTCTTAAAGACAGGAAAAGAAACTCATGGATCAGAGAGAAAAACAAAGGTGAACGATGTATCAAGACAGATTGCAAAACTTAAACGGAACTTCGCCGGTCACACTCTCCGGCAAAAAGATGAAAGATGGAATAAGCGAATTCTACACTGGAGACCATGGGAAAAGAAAAAAAAGAGGAAGACCACAGATGAGATGGACTGACGATCTTAAGAGAACGGCATAAAAGGACTGGATGCAGATCGCCCAAAATAGAGACCAATGGAGATTAACAGGGGAGGCCTACGCCCAAGAGTGGGCGTTTAAGGCTGATTAGATAGATATATTAGACTCTCATCTCTGCCATTTCTAGTATCCCTTGCGTTGTGGCTGTGTCTGTGGCTATGAATTCTTGACTTCATCCCAATGTGAATTTATCTGTTTTGCCATATAGTGTTATTAAGCCATCCTGCCCGTCTATTTGCTTTTGTACTTGATCTCTCACTTCTTTGTCCAGGTCTCCGTAGGTAGACAGTGTAATTCCCAGGTATTTTATATCCATTACTTGTTCAATACTGATGTCATCAATTTCTATTTTACATTTGGTTTGTTCTTTGCTGACTACTATTTTTTTAGTTTTCTGAGATGAAGTTGTCATATACAATTCTTTTGCTCTTATGTTAAATTTGTGGACCAGTCTGTGTAGACTATCTTCATCTAGGGCTATCAATATTGCGTCGTCTGCGTAACGGAGTATTTTTATTTCTTTGTTTCCCATGCCGTATCCTCTTCCTTTGTTAACGCTTTTGATGATTTCATTCATCATTAAATTAAAGAGCATTAGGCTCAATGAATCTCGTTGTCTTATTCCGCTGTCTATTTCTATAGGTTCTGTAAGTTGTCCATCTATTCTGACTTATATTTTGTTGTTTTGATAGATGTTCTCGATAGTTTTTATAATATTTAGGGGAACTTCTCTATCATACAGAAGATAGACTATATCTTTGGGTCTTACTGTCTCAAACGCCTTCTTTAGGTCAATTAGACACAGAAATGCTGGTCTATTATACTCTAGTGATTTCTCAGTAATTTGCTTTATAACGAATATTGCATCTATACACGATATTCCACTACGAAGACAATGTGGTTCATCTGCTAAACTTATCCTCTGATTCATTAGCACTTGTAAAATTTTAGTTGTAAGTTTTAGCGTAGTATTTAACAAGTTTATATCTCTGTAGTTTTCTGGCTGTTTTTTATCTCATCTTTTGAATAGTAAAATTATTTCGCTCGTTCTCCGTTCTTCCGGTATTTTATTGTGTTTTATAATTTTATTAATTAATGTTGTTAATTGTTGCGTCATTACTGCTCCGCAATATTTCACTAATTCGTTTGATATCCCGTCTTTACCTGCTGCTTTTCTGTTCTTCAGATTTTCAAGTATTTTCCAAACTTCCTGTACGTGTACATTTATATTAAGTTCTTCATTTGTAGTAATTTCTGGTGTTTCCGATTCTAGCGTCCATTGTTTTTCCTCTACATAGAGCTTTTTGAGGTAGTCAATCCACGTATCCTTTTCTATGTGTTTTGGTTCTATTAGTTCCTTTACCTCCATTCTTTGACTCATGAAGCGCCATATTTCCTTTCGCAGATCGTAAAAATCATGTTTCATTTCTTTCGAAAAGCGTTCCCAGTGATCATTTTTTATTTTTCTTACAAGTGCATGTCTTTCGTTTTTAATATAATCTAATCTATGCTTTTGAATGTAATTTTTAATTGTGCGATGTCCATAATAATGAGACCAATTTTTGATGTGGGTTGTAGATTAGAGTACTTTTAGTTTTTGTTACAATATTTTGTCTATTATTTGTCTGTATATAAACTATATATTATAAACGTTCTTATTTATTTTTAATGTTACATAGATATTTTTGACATTGGGATCTTTGTTAATCTCTGGAACATTATCAGTTGTACGATAATCTGCTAATTTATGTTGTATTAGCTGTGGGTGTGTGCGGATCTGATATAAACAGAAAAGTCATTTGTTTTGTTTTTGACTGTTGAATGTAGAAAATATTGTGCTCCATTTCTATTTTAAATTATATGCGATTGTGTAGGAATTTTATATATTTTATAAATTATTTATTGGCGAATAATATATCCGGCTTGGTTATAGCTACATTATTATTGATACATGTAATAAACAAACTATAATGAAAGATTTAAGTCTTTAAAATCAAATCATAAAACATGAAAGTCTTTAAAATATTATTTTTATAATAATATGATGAGTATGTTAAGGATATTTCTATACTAGTTGAACAAATTTTACATGATCAAGGCGATTTGATTAATTGATGTGATTATATTTATGTTTAAGACTTCACCTTGTGTTATACTTGGCTGAAATTCATATTTTACTTCTTGCAGTCTCGAGATGAATCTGAACATGCCGAATCTCCAAGACCTCTATCTGAAACTAGTGAAATGAGTCTAGAAGTTGGTACTTTAAATAGAAAAAGAAAACCGATAAGTGATAAACAAAGGCCGCTCACAAGATATCTTCCCATAAGAGGAACAGATCTGGATTTAAGACACCACATAGAATCAGCAGGTACGTTTATTTTCGAAATAATTCCAATATTAATATCCTTGCATTTTTGTTACACTTTATTTGCAATTTTATTAAAAACAGTTAGACAACAAATGGTTTGATCATATTTATGAAAAAATAACCAATGTAAGTTTTTTCAAGTGAGTAATTTAGTAAAGAAATTTAGTCGTGAGTCTGTTCACATAAGTCGAATAAATTATTATAGTGTACTTAATCGTCTCGTATTTCTAATCTTCTTCTACTTTTTGTAGATCTTTCGATCTGTTTAATTCTGAAGCTGTCTCTGGTTAATTTCTTGGGAGGTAGATTGCCAACTATCCCTCCATCTTTTAGGTGGTCTTCCGGGAAGTCTTGAACCGGGCGGATTGTTTTCTAGGGCAATTTTTGGGAGTCTATTCTCATCCATTCGTCTTACATGGTTGTACCACATCCTCTTGCGCTGCCTTCCCCATCTTACAATATCTTGAATTTTGCACTGCTCTCTAATGTTTGTATTTCTCACTCTGTCTCTTCTTGTTTTCCCCATTATTGTTCTTAGGGTTTTCATTTCGGCAACCCTTAGCATCTGTTTCGTTTTGTTGGTATCTTCGCGCACTTCTATGCCATATGTCATGATCGGTCGTATGCAAGTCTTATAGATTCTAATTTTACTATCTGTGCGCATATACGGATTTGACCAGACTATCTCCCGCAGACATCCTGACAGTGCAGATGCTTTGTTGATCTGACTCCTCACGTCCTTTACTGGGTCGTGGGTGCTTGATATATCTATGCCCAGATATCTGAATTGCATCACCTGTTCTATGGGGTTGTCCTCAACCACCAACTTACATCTGAGCGGATCTTTTGCTATTATCATACATTTAGTTTTTGTTGGTAGAGATGTTCATATTTAGTAGTCGGCTTGTTTGAAAGAACTGAAAGAGCTGCCTTTGGAGATCATCTTCTGATTCGGCAATAATTGCTGCATCGTCTGCGTAACACACCATACCAATTCTTTTGTTGCCCATTCTATATCCAAGATTAAGAGATGTTACTTTGTTGATAATTTTGCCCATGAGAAGATTAAACAAGAAGGGGCTTAAACTGTCGCCTTGTCTAATTCCTCCCGGTGTTGGAATATTTTCAGTGAATTCGTCTCCTGCTCTAACTTTGGTTACGTTGTTGTTATTTAGGTTATGGAGTATCTTTGTTATACTGGTCGGTGTTTCATTTTCTATTAATATATTTAGAATGTCTCCCAAGCGAACTCTGTCAAATGCCTTCGTCAAATCAATGAAGCAAATATACGCTGGCATGCCGAACTCTATAGCTTTTTCTTTTATTTGTTTTATTATAAATACTGCGTCTGTTATAGACCGCCCTTTTGTAAAACCTTGTTGTTCTTCAGCATTAGTGATTTGCTTTTCCAATTTGTCCTTGAGAATACCCGTGAAAAGTTTCATTGTTGTATTTAAGAGGGTTATTCCTCTATAGTTTTGTGGGCAGGTTTTTTGTCCTTTTTTAAATATGGGGATTGTGATACTATTATGCCATTCCTCTGGTGTTTCTGTTTTGTTTAATATTTTGTTAAATAGTTGTGCCAGTTTACTTGCAAGTTCCGGGCCTCCATATTTTAAAAATTCATTGGGTATACCATCCGTTCCCGGTGATTTTCTTTCTAATCAGCTTGACTAAAGTTGATATGCCCAAATGATTAAGTACGAAATTTCTGTACCGCTCAACTAAACTACTGGACTTCACTCGAGGTACTACAGTCGTTCGGATGTAAGACGATGAAGAATTTACTTGGTAAGATACACTGCAATGTATAAAATGTAGAATAAACCAATTGGTTGCAGTAATACTACATGCTGGATTTAAATGGAAGATTGCAAGCCAATTTTTTTTGTGTGTTTCGTTAAATGTTTGGTTCATTTTACGTAAGCCTTTTACTTCCGATTTAAGAAAATGTATCTCTGAGAGAGACCTTATCAAAGACTTCTTTTATTACAAGGACTATGTTAAATGAATTACTATTGGGATCGTTGTCCTCTTCTTCACCATGTTAACTATTTTAAATACGTAAATAGCAACCTTAGTTAAATGTTTTAGATTTATTAATAGTGGATGTTATTTTAGGTCACCAAGTGGTATTGTGTCCCCATGTTATTATAAACTCCAGTGTTTGCAGAGGTTATCTTCACAAAAGAGGTTCGAAATTAAATGGGTGGTCTAGAAGATGGTTTGTATTTGACAGGCATAAGCACACGTTTGCTTACTACATGGACAAAAGTGAAAAGAAGCCTAGAGGTGGAGCTTATTTTCAAGTAAGTATATTAAAGTATTTATAAATAACTTGAGATAGCTACTACAAGCCTTAATGTTTTAATAAGCATTCCGTCAGTCAGCTTTTCGTCTATATGTCAACGGTTTTAGTAGGTATATTGAGTTCGTGGATTTCATTTCATATTATTCGTATATTTTTTACTTGCAGCTTTGTGAGTTCTACGACGTAAGTTACTACGTATAATTGGTGGCATTTTCAAAGATCCAAATTAAACTGAAAATAAAAAATTGTTTTCCTTAGTGTTTCTATATAAATATGTATATCGTCGGTGATACTGCAATATGTCGTATGTCGAAATGAGGTAATATTTCAGGAGAGACAAAAAACTCTTCTCGTCGATCATTTTTAAATTTGAAAATGCGATTATTTGTGTATGATGTATACTTTTATTTGGGTATTAGTACAGGAACACGATTTTTTGGTCAGTGTAATGTTAAGCAAAATGCCGTTACATATGACATATTGCATTGAAAGTTTAAATATTTTATGTCACATACGACAATTTTGTAATGCATGTACACCCCAGAAAAACAATTAATTATTTTCAAACCTTTTGTTTATTTTATTTAAATGGCGGAGAACAAAACTAAAAATTCTAAACTAATTAACTGGAAAGAAGAAAATATCATACACATTAATTTTTTATATGTGAACAGACTTGGAGAGACACACAGGTTTGTTTTAAATTATCATAAAATGCATGATAATCTGATTCTATAACAGATTTTAATTGTTGAAGATGTAAGAATTTTGAATCCTCAATTGGGCGTGGCGATAAATATAAGGGTTCGTGAATTACAGACGTTCTAGTACGACTTGGTCTTCGTGGCAGTTCGAGCCATTCATCAGTAAAATTGATTTTGTATTTTATCAGTCCTTGAGGAAGATATTGCAATGCACACATATCTGTGACACAAGGATCACCTTTTTGGCTTCCAGGTCGAATTTGTGTGTACATTCCTTTGCTGTATTGTAAAAAATCGCTGTAATGCAAAGACACTACTTTGTAAGGGGATGGGTTTCGCCTGACCGCTTTTATAACTTTAGTATAATCAGCGGGAACAGCAATATCATTTTTTCTTCCTAACTTTCTCTCAATCACACTATGGACCGAATCCACCTCCATCTGGTTATGTCCTACCTCTAGGTACTTTTATTCTATAATAATATTTTTCTCCATAACTATCTCCTGCAAACCATTTGACATATTTACATTTCTGTTTTGGTACGTACAACCGTCGCTCCATAGGATTATTGTCTTCGAGTTGTGTCTTTCTATCTCTTCATTAAGAAACTTCACTAAAATGGAAACAAACACATCGCTATCTAAACCTCCATTTCCCTCGTGCCATAAATAACAAGCCACATCTTTGTTATTAAGATTAAAAAATGTTTGGTTGTGAACCTTCAGTTTTTGTTTATAGTACATGGCAGAGGTTTTTGTTTGTCTTGTTCTTTTTCTCAGCGTGCCTGTTCTTTCTTGGCAACATGTCTATCATAATCTGATTGACTTAAATTTCCCTTCTTAAACATCACACATGTGAGCTGCACTGGTCCTTACGAGGAGTGTAAATTTCAAGATTTTTTGTCTTAAAAGTTTAAAAGAAAAGTCTCCAAGAACAAGATCTTATGTTTTGACGTTCACAGTAGTTAATAAACTCACGATGTAAATGTCTGTAACTGTTCCAAGTGGATTCCAAATAAAGTTTTCTACTGGATGCTCGACAGTAGTGCGATTCAACTTTAGGCAGGCTGTCTAAGAATGTATTAACATTTTTTGCGCATTCAGAATCCTGCGGTGGCTCTACTAAAACTGGTCTAATAGCTTGCACTTTATTTGGTAAACATTTCTTTGAAACCCATTCGCTTACAGATCTTTCGCCAACACCTAAAGTGGCTAAAAACATTTTTTTGCATACATGATATTTTTTTGAAGATTCCTTATTATCTCTAGCTATTAAATAATATTTAAAACCTGTTTTCTTTCGGAACTCCTCTTCGACAGTGTTTCTTCTTCTGTGTTTAGTCTGAGAGTGCAGTACAAGACTGCTTACATAAATTTGTTTACCTTCCCAAGAATTAATTTCCCAGAAATAGTGAAATATTTGATTACGCATTTCATTCGTAATTTGCGAACATTCACATTTTTGTTGCGCCCCCTTAGGCTGTCTGCTGGTAAGTTCTTTCACTATTTTTTTGAAATCCCATGTACGCATGTCCTTTAAGTCTGGCTTGTGAATTTTTTGCTCGTTTCCACTGTGATGGATCTCTTTGCCCATTACTCCTGCGTTTTTTTGCTCTTGCGTCCGGTATCTGATGATCCTCTTGGTTTCCAACTAAATTTTCTGAGTCAGTATCAGTTTCTGTTGGCAGATACTCACTGCCACTGTCACTTTCATGAAATGGATCGATATTTTCTTCTTCTATTGTCATTTCTTCCTGATAGTCAATTATTGGTATATCATTGTCTGTGTTCTGTTCCAAATAATATGATTTTGGAGCTATATCGGTTTTGGAATGCGATGTTTCTTTTGGAATTTCTGCCACTTCCAGGGGTGTTAAAACTGGATTCTCTTCCAATTCTGCATTTTCTAATAGATCTTCCACTGCTCTGGAACCGTGCTTTCTGTTTTTTGAGGACTTGATGCATCGTCCAATTGATATGTCAAAATGTTGATATTATCGTCTTCAGGTACTTGGTGAGAGGCGTCTGCTCTTGAAGCTGAATTTAAAGCTAATTCCACCAACAGCCGTGCTCTGTTCGACATTATTGATTCTCTGAAAAGAAAAAATAAAACATGCAATATGTTGTATGTCAGTACCTAACTTGCTAAATCAATAACACTAAAGAGAAAATGAATAAGTAACAACCTACTTGCATTTTAATTATTTGAAAAAAACGTAAATCTCATTATAAGAACCTAAATATTAAAATAATTTATTTATGGAAAAAAATTGATGTTATATCTACTAATTATTTTTTCAATTATTATTGTGTTTCTCAACTAAAAATTGGACTATATATATAAAGTTTTAGTATTTTAAATTCAAAAAAGAACAAAGAACTTACCGTATATATACATATATATATATATATATATATATATATATATATATATATATATATATATATATATATATATATATATTATGTATTTTGTATGTATTTACCTACATAAATTCACTTTTATCACTTCTAACGGCTGTTTTTAAGTTTACAGTTGACTACCTAATGAGAAATTTAAGTGACATACGCCGTATCGAAATATCCAATTGTGCGGCGTTGCCACATACGAAGAGAATGATTTTGACATACGCCATACTGAAGTATCCATTTTAGTCAAGAAAAACTTACGACATATTTGCACGGATAAAAAATCATGGTAACTGTTAAACTTTCACCTGCGATATTTTGCAGGGGCGTAGAGGACTGCAATTTGGTTACAATGGATACATAAACGAAAAATGGCCGTATTTGTGACATACGACAAATTGCAGTATCACCGACGATATATAACATATATTTATCAAAACTGTCCAAAAATCGATGTTAAATTAAACTTTTAATACAAGAGTTGATTGCGATGAACTAACTGCGACCCTTTTTAACTCTTGTTTATAATTTAATTTTAAAAAACCCTTCTCAAAACGCTCACCTAACAAACTCAAAACAGACAGCGCACTATGAACTCGATAACGGTGAAGTTCTGCATGATACATAAAAACTCTATCTTGTGTTCTTAATTTATCCCACTTTTCATTTGGATATCCCTCTCCCTCAAAATAAACAAAATACGAATAAAAAAATACATTTTATAAGTTTTAATCGAAATTAAGATCATAATCGAAAAAACCACTTAAAACTGGTAACAAAAGATTTGAAGTAAATGTCTATAAATTATGTTCCCTTCTGTAGTTTCCTTAAGACTCAATGTATCACCAAATTTCATAGTACGTTCCTCATTTGTTATGCGTATTTATCTACTATTAAAGATTAATTTTGTTATTATAAATTAGAACTAATAAAATTAAAATTAACAGAAAATATTTAATATTGTTAAAAAATTTGAGAGTTGTTATTGCCTCAAAAATTGCAGAAAATGTCACGCAAGTGTCATCAGAAAAAATTGATGAAAGAGAATACCGGGATACAAATGTGTGCAACAACCGACGTAGATTCAACACGTTCAAGTAGAAGCGTTGCTAGGTAGTTAGATGTTAGCAATGTTACTGTAACGAAAGTATGGAAAAAGCACGGTTACAAGAATTTTAAATATTCTAGAACGAAGCAGCTTTATCCAGACAACTACTTTCGAAGAATGAAGTTTTGTGAAACTCTAATAACGAAGGCTAGTGATGAACTTAATTTTATTAAAAACATTTTATTTACTGATGAATCTTTTGTTTCGTTAGTAGGGAGGCACAATCCTTCCGTTACAAGGTATTGGGCGCGGGAAAACCAGCACAGAAGTGTTTTTTACTGAACTCAACGTCCTCAAAATGTTAACCTCTGGACTGGCATTTTAGGAGTCCACATAATAGGTCCATTTTTCATTGAGAGCAACTTGAATAGTAGAGTATACCTCGATTTGTCACAGAATCATGTTCTTTCCGCTATTCTCAATCTTCCTGATGTATATCTGGAGAATGTTTGGTTCATTCGATACGGCTGTTCAGTTGACAACGCTCGAATAATTAGGGAGTACTTAAACAAAACTTTTCCGAATCGAGTTATCATTGGAACAAAGTGGCCTGCGCGATCGCCATATCTTACACCCATGGACTTCTTTTTTTGAGGACATTTAAAAAGCATCATCTATGATCATCCTCCAGAGCCCAATATTTAGTTGAATTAAGAAACTGAATACGAGAAGTTTCCAATTCTATTACAGCAGAAACTCTTCCATCTGTCCGCAGAAGTTTTTATGACAGATTGGGATACTGTTCAGTCGTAGAAGGTCAAATATTTGAATAATTTCTGTAGGGCATAAAGAATTATTTGTTATTTTTTAAGAATTTTTTATTTCTTATTTTTTATTTACTTAAGAAGTATTTTTTATTTTTAATTCAACCACAAAAAATTGTTCACGTTATGAAAAATCGATACAAATGCACCGCTTTATAAAATGCGTTATTTGTTATTATGTGTTAATACATGGTTTTCTCGAGTTGTCGGAGCGGAG